TTTTCCAACAACAACTTTTCAGTGTTTCTTTCCCTCCCCTTTTTCCATACAGATTCCTACAATCAAACTGGCTTTGTGATGCTTCAGATACCTTGAGTCATCTCTTTGACCAAGTGTGACAGCAGAGTATCCAACCATGTTATGCTAAATATAGCAGTCATCATCATCCTGTGCCATCAAATCAATTCTGACTTATGGTGGCCCTTTCCAGGGTTTTCTAGGTAGAGCATACAAAGAAGTGGTTTTTACCCTTCCCTTCCTCTAGGGGGTGCCCTGAGATGGTGCAGCTGGCCCAAGGCCACCCAGGCTGGCAATTCAACCAGAAGGCAACGTGGTGGGAGAATCGTACACACAACCTCTGGCCCCTCAGCCAGAGACCTAACCCCCTGAGAAATCCAATGGTTCTATAATCATCATCTTAGAACGGCCGAATTCAGCAACAGAAAACACAGGAGTAACTTTTGCCAACCCCAAGGACTAATGACAAGCGGCTATTTCTCAAAAACGGTAGTGAGTAACAGGAATGAGTTACTTTTCCAACAACAACTTTTCAGTGTTCCTTTCCCTCCCCTTTTTCATACCTGTTTCTTTCCCTCCCCTTTTTCCATACAGATTCCTACAATCAAACTGGCTTTGTGATGCTTCAGATACCTTGAGTCATCTCTTTGACCAAGTGTGACAGCAGAGTATCCAACCATGTTATGCTAAATATAGCAGTCATCATCATCCTGTGCCATCAAATCAATTCTGACTTATGGTGGCCCTTTCCAGGGTTTTCTAGGTAGAGCATACAAAGAAGTGGTTTTTACCCTTCCCTTCCTCTAGGGGGTGCTCTGGGATGGTGCAGCTGGCCCAAGGCCACCCAGGCTGGCAATTCAACCAGAAGGCACCATGGTGGCAGAATCGAACACCCAGAGACCTAACCCCCTGAGCAATCCAACGGTTCTATAATCATCATCTTAGAACGGCTGAATTTGAAGGGACCTTACGGATCACCAAGTCCAGCCCCTCTCAACGAGGCACAGTGGGGAATCAAACTCCCAAGCTTTGGGTCCTCAGCCAGAGGCCTAAAGTCTGGGGGAAGATGTCACCTGGTAAGGTCCTTCCCAGCCCCCAGGGCCTTTTCACTACCATACATAGCAAGATTCGTTTGAAACGTGCTGCTGTCAGAGGAGAGCTTAGTGGAGACCCTGGACTGCCAGAAAGACCAACCGGTGGGTCCCGGAACAAATCAACCCCTGGCATCAAAAATGTTGAAACTCATGAGAAGGCAGTGTTCTTTGGAAAAGACCATACATAATGCTGGCAAAGGTGGAAGGCAGCAGGAAAAGAGGAAAATCAAGTATGAGATGGATGGGCTCCCTAACGGAAGCCACAGGCTTGAGTCTGGAAGAGCTGAGAAGGGCGGTGGAGGATAGGAGAGTTTATAGACGGCTCATTCCTAGGGTCGCCATGCGTTGGAGTTGACTTGACAGCACATAGCTACAAAGCAAGGGAAGGACAGGAAGGAGAGACATGTTAGGGGTGTCAAGAAATAATAACTGGCCAGTTATCTGTCCTCAGGAGGGACACCCACCTTTTCCGACAGGCCCAGGGCTCGCTTGCTCCGCCCTCCCGAAATCCAGCGTGGAAGGACCCCTTCTCCTTGTGGTGACAGCCCTGTAAGCAAAACACGGCAATGAGTCAAGGCGGAAGGGACCGCCGTTCCCCTTCCTCGGACCCGTCTCCAGAATCCGTTCACCCTCTGCCTATTCAAAGATGCCGGGGAAAACCCTCCCCGCTTGGCAGAAGGTAAAAATAGGGGAACTGAAAACCAGCCCCATGGCTACACAAACAAAACAAACGCCCCCCCCCAAAAAAATAACGGAAAGGCTGGGGTGAAAAAAGAATTCAAACCACAAACAAGGCAAGGCGTCCCCTTCTCTTCCCCTTGGTGGGTTTGGTTTTTGCACAGAAGGTCAGGAGCCCACCCTAAGCAGAGAAGAGGGGGGGGGGAATTGAAGGATGGGCCAGCAGATATGAAAGGAGGCCAGGGCATCTGAGTTGCATCCACAGCTGGGAAAAGTGTCCACAAGGCGCACCACATTTCCCTGACTCCCGTGATGAGCCAGGGGTGAGCGAGAGGGAGTCAAAGGAAAGCCCTTCAAGGTAAAATAGCATTAGCTTCTGTACATGTGTGCACAGAGGGTGGGGGAACAGGACTGCATCCATTTTTTTCCTGATCCTCCATTCTATAGATTTACCTTGGCTAAACGTCCACCCCTTGGCCCGTTTCAGATGGGTTCGATTACAATGGCCATCATCCGCAGCCAGCATGGACTACACAGTCACTAGCTACGGTGAGTCAGGTATTCCAGGAGTGACCTGGCAAATATATATGTAATACTGTAAGGGTGAAAGAGGAGAGCGCCAAAAATGGTCTGAAGCCCAACATCAACAAAACTAAGATCATGGCCACTGGTCCCATCACCTCCTGGAAAATAGAAGAGGAAGAGATGGAGGCAGTGACAGACTTCACTTTCTTGGGCTCCATGATCACTGCAGGTGGTGACAGCAGCCACGAAATTAAAAGATGCCTGCTTCTTGGGAGGAAAGCGATGACAAACCTAGAAAGCATCTTAGAAAGCAGAGACATCACCGTGCCAACGAAAGTCCGAATAGTCAAAGCTATGGTTTTTCCTGTTGTGATGTATGGAAGTGAGAGCTGGACCATAAAGAAAGCAGACCGCCGAAGAATTGATGCTTTTGAATTGTGGTGCTGGAGGAGGCTCTTGAGAGTCCCCTGGACTGCAAGGAGAACAAAGCTATCCATTCTGAAGGAAATCAACCCTGAGTGCTCTCTGGAAGGACGGATCCTGAAGTTGAGGCTTCAATACTTTGGCCATCTCATGAGAAGAGAAGACTCACTGGAAAAGACCTTAATGTTGGGAAAGTGTGAAGGCAAGAGGAGAAGGGGACGACAGAGGACGAGATGGGTGGACAGGGTCACCGAAGCTACCAACATGAATTTGGGACCAAACTCCGGGAGGCCGTGGAAGACCGGGGGTCCTGGCGTGTGCTCTGGTCCATGGGGTCACGAAGAGTCAGACACGACTTAACGACGAAACAACAACAACAAGATACCTGGTTCCTCTTTTCCTTCATACTCCTGTTCCTCAAGGGCAGCCAAGGATTCCCTTATCTTCTACACCCACAGATGAAAAGGAGCTCCACCACCCGGATGTGGAAACATTATTTTCTTAGACTAAAAGGAGTTCGGAAAGGTTACGCCTAACTGGGGAGGCCAAAAATCAATGATTTAAAAAAAAAAAAAAGATCAATTTAAGTTAGGATTTAAATTTTAAAAATCTATTTTTGGATTGAAATCTTTTTTAAAAAAAATAATTTAATTTTTTTTTTAACTGTGGTTAAAATCAATCTGACTTAAATCAAATCCAGCCGGCACCTAACACCGGCAGAGGCTTGTCTTGCGCCTTTGATTTCCTGCCGTGGCCAACCACCCGCCTCCAGGAAGTCCACGTGTGAGAAATTTGTGTCGCAGCACCACTTGGGCTTCTCAGCCATGATACACACAGCTCCGCTGGCCACGTTGTTCTTTTCCGCCAGCGAGGCGCTTCTGCATCATCCTTAACTGTCCTGCTCAACTCTTGCAAACTCAAGGCCAAACTCAATCTTCCTTTTTTTCCCCTGCTGCCTTTAACATTTCCCAGGATTGTCGTCTTTTCTAATGAGTTTCGTCATCTCATGAGGCACTCGGAGAACCGAGGCTTCCATTTAGTCCTCTTTCATTCTAGGGAAGAGTGCAAGCATGATTTGATCTAAGACCCACTTGTTTGTCTTTCTGGCAGTCCAGGATCCCTTCAAAATTCTCCCGATTTTGAATGCATGGATTTATCCTTCCTATTGCTTCCTACAATCTTAGTATTGTAATATTGTAGGAACTATTGCTGTACTATCTATATGTAGCAGCTGGGAATAACACAGAAAGAGAGGTTACTTACCTGCAACTCTGGTTCTTCGAGTGCTCATCTGTGAATTTGCACTAATGGGTTTAATCTGCACCTGCGCAGAGGTCTCCGGAATATTCTAGAGCTCAAACATGCGTTCGCCAGGACCCTCCCCCTTAACACACGTGGTCCGCCTGCCTCAGTTCCCAACAGCCCACCACTGCACGTTAAGACAGACATGGCGGACAGAGGGGAGGATGGGCAGGAAGAGTGAATTCACAGAGGACCACTCGAAGAACCAGAGTTACAGGTAAGTAACCTCTCTTTCCCCTTCACGGATTGCTGCCTTGTCGTAGTGAAGGGACATGAGTAATTCAGAGAAGCTATGGGCTATGCCATGCAGGGACACCCAAGACGGACAGGTCATAGTGGAGAGTTCTGACTAAACATGATCCACTTGGAGCAGGAACTGGCAAACCACCCACGTATCTTTGCCAGGAAAACCCCATGGACAGAAACAAATGGCTAAAAGATATGACGCTGGAAGATGAGCCCCTCAGAAGGTGTCCAACATGCTACTGAGGAAGAGCGGAAGACAAGGACAAGTAGCTCCAGAGCTAATGAAGTGGTTGGGCCAAAGCTGAAAGGACGCTCAGCTGCGGATGCGCCTGGAAGTGAAAGGAAAGTCCGAGGTTGCAAAGAAAAATACTGGAATGTCAGATCTATGAAGCTTGGCGAGCTGGATGTGGTCAAACAGGAGATGGCAAGAATAAACCTTGACATTCTGGGCGTCAGTGAACTAAAATGGATGGGAATTGGCGAATTCAATCCAAACGATGATCTTACCTACTATTGTGGGCCAAAATCCTGTAGCGTCAACAAAAGAGTGGGAAAAGCTGTAATGGGATACAATCTCAAAAATGATAGAATGATTTCAATACGAATCCAATGCAGACCTTTAAACATCACAGTAATCCAGGTTTATGCACCAACCACCAATGCAGAAGAGGCTGAAACTGACAAATTCTATGAAGACTTACAATACCTTCTAGAACTGACACCAAAGAAAGATGTTCTTCTCATTATACGGGACTGGAATGCTAAAGTACGGAGTCAAGAGGTAAAAGGAACAACAAGTAAGTTTGGCCTTGGAGTTCAGAACGAAGCAGGGCAACGGCTAATAGAGTGTTGTCAAAAGAACAAGCTGGTCATCACAAACACTCTTTTCCAACAACACAAGAGGCAACTCTACACATGGAAATCACCAGATGGGCAATACCAAAATCAGATTGATATATTCTTTGCAGCCAAAGATGGAGAAGCTCTATACAGTAAGCAAAAACAAGACCTGGAGCTGATTGTGGCTCTGATCATCAGCTTCTTGTAGCAAAACTCAAGCTTAAACTGAAGAAAGAAGGAAAAACCACTGGGCTAGTCAGGTATAATCTAAACCAAATCCCTTATGAATATACAGTGGGAGTAAAGTACAGATTTAAGGAACTCGATTTGGTGGACAGAGGCTCATAACACTGTACAGGAGGCAGCAACAAAAACCATCCCAAAGAAATGGAAATGCAAGAAAGCAAAGTGGCCGTTCAATGAGGCCTTACAAATAGCGGAGGAGAGAAGGGAAACAAAATGCAAAAGAGATAGGGAAAGTTACAGAAAATTGAATGCAGACTTCCAAAGAATAGCAAGGAGAGACAAGAGGGCCTTCTTAAATGAACAGTGCAAAGATATAGGGGGAAATGATAGAAAGGAAAAACCAGAGATCTGCCAAGAAAATTGGATATATTAAAGGAACATTTTGTGCAAAGATGGACATGATAAAGGACAAAAATGGTACAGATCACACAGAAGCAGAAGACATTGAGAAGAGGTGGCAAGAATAAACAGAGGAATTATACCAGAAAGATCTGGATGTCCCAGACAACCCAGATAGTGGGGTTGCTGACCTTGAGCCAGACATCTTGGAGAGTGAAGTCAAGTGGGCCTTAGAAAGGATGGCTAACAACAAGGCCAGTGGAGGTGATGGCATTCCAGTGGAACTATTTAAAATCTTAAAAGCTGACACTGTTAAGGTGCTACACTCAATATGCCAGCAAGTTTGGAAAACTCAGCAGTGGCCAGAGGATTGGAAAAAATCCCAATCCCAAAGGAGGGCAGTGCCAAAGAATCCTCCAATTACCGTACAGTTGCACTCATCAGTATGTGGACCGAGAACTCCCAGAAGTACAAGCTGGATTCTGAAGGGGCAGAGGAAATAGAGACCAAATTGCTAACATGCGCTGGATTATGGAGAAAGCCAGAGAGTTCCAGAAAAATATCTACTTCTGCTTCATTGACTATGCAAAAACCTTTGACTGTGTGGACCACAGCAAACTATGGCAAGTCCTTAAAGAAATGGGAGTGCCTCACCACCTTATCTATCTCCTGAAAAATCTGTATGTAGGATAGGAAGCAACGGTTAGAAACGGATATGGAACAACTGATTGGTTCAAAATTGGGAAAGGAGTACGACAAGACAGTACAGTGGTGCCTCGCATAACGAGCACCCCATTTAACGACGAATCCGCATAGCGATGCGGATTTAGTGATCGCAAAAGCGATCACATTGTAATGATTTAGATGGGCAAAAATCACATTGCGATGATTAAAAAATTGTGTGGGACCGATTTCAACACTGTAAGATTTGAAAAAGTCCACACTGGAGCTCTGTAGAGCAACCGAGGAAGGTGTTTTACCATTATACAGTTATCTTAGTGGTCCCACCATCTTCCTACCTGGTCCAGAAGATAAACAGTAAATAACATTGATCTTCTGGCAGAGCAGCAGATTCTAACCATGTTCCTGAACTTTTGCATGTTACTCCAAGGTGCTCCTATGAGTTGGTCTGTTCGAGCAGCTCCCTGTTCAGCTGCAATTCTTTCTCCATTTCCCAAAGACTAACATTTTGGTGTCAAGAGTTGTTTCTTGACACAATAAGCACCTCAAGGCCCTTAATAGTCTTTGTATCCCCGCCTGGGTGTTGGATAGGAGAACTGCATCATCTGCATACAAATGTCCCGATATATTTGTGCCCTTTAGATAGGGTGGGAAAATCAAGGGCTGGACAGGGAGAATATTATATCGTTTAGCTATAAATGAAATAGAATGGGGGGGTAATAAACATCCCTGACGCACTCCCTTATTTACAAGGGTTGGGTCTGAACGACAGCCATCTGAGCTGACTCTTACGTGTAGGATGGTCATTCCCGTACAGCCTCTGGATTTTCAAGTACCTGAATGGAAGTCAGCAAGGCTAGTTGCCAGGGTGTATTTCCTTATCCGAGAAGCATGTTCTCCACTTACTCAGCTGAAACATCTTCTAGATGGCTGGAAAGGGTTGTTAAGGGCAAGTGCATCTCAAAACTTCATAAGCATCCAGGCACTTAAGTATCAACTTTAGATATAGGATGTTGCCCCGATGCGATGAGCAGAATCCTCTGAACTTTTGCAAGACCTGACAAAATGGATGAGATGCTGAAATGTGCCTAGAGTTATTAATCTTCAGGAAGAAGGAGAAAAGGAAATGACTGAGGCTACCACACTATGAATCATCTTTAGTGCTGAGGCTCATCATCCAGTGTGCCCAAATTATGGAGAGCAAACCAACACGGCTTGCTGAATCATCATCCTCTTATAAAAGCAGAGCTGGAAGGGACCCTATGGATCATCACATCGAGCCCCTGTCAAGGGGGCACAGTGGGGAATCGAACTCCCAACCTCAGGCTCCACAGCCAGATGCCTAAACCACTAAGCTATCCATGGTCTATGTGCAACTCCCAAACACAGCTTGATAGAGTTAAAATTTTTTATTATTATTGGTTTTATGTGCTGTCAAGAAATAAGGCAAGCTTTTGGCCTCTACAGGACTGTTCATCAGACAGAGAGCTAAACCACTAAGCAATCCAGCAGTCTTTAAAGACATGTTCCCTGACTGGGAATCAAACCCAGGCAGAAGATGAAGGGATGAATGCTGACGATTGTCTTCCACCAGGACAAGACTCTAGCTGGACCATCTGGAAGACTTCAAAGTGAAGTAGGAAGATCAGAGACTGATCAAAGAAAATGAGGCTACTTAGATGCAAGACAAGTTTTCTGTGATTGTGGGGAAATTCAATCAGTGCAGCACTTACATGCACATCATTTATGCCCCGCCACGCGTGCAAAAGAAGATCTAGCAAATGGCCGAGATAATGCTATTGAAGTAGTCTGCTTCTGGCCAAAACTAATCTAATTATCTTCACAGTTGAATTTCTTTTTAATTTTTACCTATATTCCATGACGTCCATAATTTTAAACTGTGCAATGCTCTGATGTGAGTAAAGAAAGATAGAAAAAAATGCACCATGCCTGCAACAATTCACAGCCACCACCCTTTCAAAAAACTTATGGGTGAGTCACTTACATGGAGAAACAACCCTGTCTGTCAGTTAGGAGCGAAAAGAGAAAGAAAAACCAAGAGCTTCCTTCCAATATTCTGCAAAAGGTGCAAATCTTAGATTATTCTTCCTCTCAAACATGTGCCTCTCAATTTACTGCAATTACAATCTCCATCATCCCCCAACGAGTGCACGACTGCAGGTCCCATAATCCGACAGCAGAGGACAGTTGGAGGTAGGATTATGGGATTTGTAGCTCAATATATCCGGAGGGCACAAAGATGTCCTTCCGGCATGCCCCACCACCCCAAGAAACAGGGGGAAAGGGGAGTATTGTGATAATGCGCTCCCAATGAATGGCTTTTTCCATAGCTCAGCATATCAGCTCTGGAACGGCCTACTAGGGAAGTTGGTTTGGCTTCATCCCTGTTGAGGCTCCATGGACAATTAAGCCTATATGGTTCTGAAAGGACTTCGGTCCTTTAAATTTGCTTTTAATTCATTTACTTATTTTTTGCTCCTCTTGAAAGGGAGTGCTTTTAATCTGTATTCCGAATAACATTTGAAACCCCTCTTTTATGCTTTTGAGCTGTCTCTTACAACATCACTTCGGGAGCGCTGGTAGACAAAATCATTAAAAAATAAAATACTTTAAATC